GTGAACCACACCACAAACCATAATCTCTCTCTCTACAGTGTAGTGGGGCCCACACATGATTTTTTTTAAAAAAATCATGTGTGGGCCCCACTGCACTGTAGAGAGAGAGAGATTGTGGTTGAAGGTGTGGTTCACAATGTGCCTGTAACACCACTCTTATGTTATATTGTTATGAATGGGGATGGGGTGGGTTCTCTGGGGTTTTGGGCTTCTCTTGACTCCGGCCTCCTTGCTCTTGAGCGCCCCCACGCCCTAATAAGAGGGATCAAATCCAGTTGGAAGATTCACCTTAGAATGTGGGGTGAATGATGGTGACTGATCCGTATATTGATGTTTAATAATAGGGTAAATTTCACATAATTTCTTTTAAGGTTGGGCCCTTTTGAGATAATCTCAATTAACTTTGAGATTTTTTTATGTAACTCGTCTAAAACAAGTTGTGATCTACTCAACCAAATAAATATTGTTTACTTGAAGGGGTTGTTTGGTTCAATTTTTATAAATTATAGGAAAAAGGAAAACACCCAAAATATAGATTTCCTTATATTTCTATAAAATTTGTAGGAAAATTTTATAGAACTCAAAGAGTATCATATTTCTTTTCTTTTTTTTTTGCTATTTCTTTGTTTGGTTCAAAGTATGAAAAAGTTCCTAACTATATAGAAAATATGTTGTTTTCGTTTTCTTTTGTTTGGTTGGATATCACTTTATAGAAAATAGCTTACTAACAATGCCCATGAGAAATCACATGGGAACGATACTGGTGTACTTAATTAATTTTTTAATGTATGCGTCAGATTTTCTAGTATTTTTAAGACCATTTTTAGTGGAAAATAATTTCTGTAAATTTGTACAAATATCTGTACTTTACAGAATTTTTTTTTATAAATAATGTTGAACCAAACACAGTTTATAGAAATCTATAGAAATCTATTATTTACGATAATGCCATTATCAAGTATTTTCACAAACTTTTCCATAAAATAGGTGAACCAAACACCCCGAAGTTCCTAAATTTCACGTTCCAAGCATATCATTTAAAAAAAAGGGAAAATATCCAAAGAATAATTTCTTTTAAAGGTAAATTTCACTTTGAGGTGATCTATTAGGGCCTCATTTTAGGGGGTTTCTTAATCATCAATTGCGGCTTTAGATTTTTTTAAGACCACATTCCATGTGGGAGATTGTGCCCTTAGCCCATGAGATGGTCTTAGTTCACGCAAATCAAGGTTTAGACAACCAACTGATGAGGCAATAATCTATGATTAGCAAAATAAAATAATGTTGATTTTGATATGTAAAGAGGGAAACTCTCCTAGAATCGTCTAAGATTAGACCTCATTCCTTCCCACCGCAATAATAGAATCACTAACAACCTCACTCCTAGTGAGGCTTCCACTCAAATTAGGTCCCATCTTGGCCACAAGCTGCATGAATTAGTGCTTAAGCTCAAAAGTGAGTTCATAATGGGAGGTAGTTTGATACTCTCAAAAATCAAAAATCAAAAAACACAATAAACACAATAAACAAAATAAAAAACAAAAATAAATGCAAAAACGAAAAAACATCCGATTATAAATCTTAAACAAAATCTGATGTCAAATGTATGGATGCAGCGACATATCCAAAAAAAAATCAAGAGGAGAGGCGATAAATATTTATTTTTCTAAAATTTAAAATATAATATTATAAAAGAACATTCTTGATGAATGTGCTAAGTTTCCAATTTAAATAGGCTAAAACTCAAATAGAATGCAAATATTTATTAATAATGGGCGACAAATTGTAAGTTCATAGTACTTTATGCCTATTCTACCACTCTATGCCAATTCAAATGGCTAAGACGAAGCCATGTAAAATTCACATTATCACAATACCAGTTTTCACAATAGTGGTTTAGAAGATAATATTTAGAGTCCTACGTGGCATCATTCCTGCCCTTGAAATTGAACTATAGGGATAGAATTAGATTAATTGGATACTCTCTAATTGTCACCTAATTAGCGGAGATCTCAATCTGACAACTAGGCAGCATTTCAAGTGTACAGGACAAAAGGTACTCAAGTTCTGCATGCAATATGTTCTAAAACTAACTCACTAGTGACCTCAAGACGTGTAAATTGCAAATTATCAGTGTTTCTTTCTATGGAATGCTGAGACTAAATAGGGAAGGGACATACCGCCACAAATTGTAAAGTAAGAGAATTTGATATAATGGCATCAACAGGTGAAAGAGAACCATCCCTAATCCTAGTTGTGATTCACTAAAGATAAGGGGATAAGGGCTTGGATCCATTACAGAGATGATGATCTAATGATCCAATAGCTAAGGAGAACGAAATGGTTCTTATCCAAGGACCAAGGATGAAGCTAAAGGTTGTTCTTTGCATTTTTTAACCGCTGGATCGATTTTGAGAAGAAAATCTTAGTGGTTGATGTTGTTATCATCATTCAACTTTGTGTTGTACAGTGTACATCAAGATGATTAGTCCTCGTCAAGGCCATTAGTTAAAAGGTTAAGTAGCAAAGAGAATAATTATGAGATCATAAGGGGACTTGAAGTTTATCTGTTGCGTGACGGTACAGTCCAACCAATTAGTTTGGCCACATTTTTTACATAATTTAGAAAAAAGAAAGAGGGCAAGCATAAACAGTAAACTAAATTAAAAATCTATGAACTCTTGTTTAGCTCTAGCAAGCACACGTAGTAATTAGAACAACTTGACCTTTAAAGATTGTGCGAAGCCAAAGAACATATTCCAAATTCACAGAGAGCTCCATTCCCATTCTGCCCCTCCAATTCCCAATCTACCCCTGTCACCATGCGTTCTAGAGACGGTCAAAGGAGATATCGTGGTCTATACTTTGAGCAAAGTATCAAATCTTTTGCTTTTTGTGGAGCTTTGAACCTCTCTCTCAAGCGATCTTACTCGTACTTTTATTCTTTTATTAACCGTTTTCACCAAACTTAGATTCAAGGTGGTGGCTGAGTTTTCTTTCTCAATCTTAGTTTCAGGGTGTTGGCTTTTTTTTTCTTCTCCTATGGCATTTTCTTGAAGAGGTTGGCATTAAAAGAAGTATAGTATTATGAGATGTGTTTCAAAGTAACTTTAGTTTGATACTAAATCTAGTATTTGTGTACTGATTATGTTTTGGTATTTTGCAACAGGAAGATCTCTTACCCTCTCTTTATGCCACATCAACTTGGCAATGTTTGGTAGACGTACTTGAACTTCTTTTGGTGTGGAAGATTTGCATGACGCTTCACTATTTTGGAATAATGTGCATAGTGATATTTGATGTGATTGAATGATTCAAGAAATAGATTTTCTCGTCTAAGATCTGGCCTTACTAACCTATTTGGCAAACTCCTCAAAGCTAGGCTAAGATGTGAAATCGCAAACAGATTGATCCAAGGTTCAAAATTCGATGCATACAGAAGTAGGTCCCTTATAATTAACAAATTCAAGGTTGGGCACTTGATTTACTTCATTTATCCTAGCTTCCATGTATACATGTTTAATTTATGCAATCGAAAGATCACCCTTTGTTGTACCATTAATTTAGTAGCCCAAGAGTCAGTCCAATTATTGTAATAAACAATATCAATCCTAGTATAGTTCAATGCTACATTAATATCTTAGAACCCCAACAGTTTAGTCCAGATTGTACAAAACACATTTTCAACTTTTGCATTAAGTCCAAAAGTTCTGAGATTTTTACATGTAGCAACACAGGTATTTCATAACTGTGTGCATAGAAGCAAGGTTATCGATAGCGGATAGCGTCGCGTAGCGGTAAGGCATCACTAAGGCTATTTCGGGCTATTGCTGCAAAATAACGGTAAAAAGCGCAAAGCCAAATAGCGGTCTAATTTAGATATGTATAAATACTAAAAAAGAAAAATTAAAGAAAAATCTAAGAAATC